ACAACAGGAGGAGAAGGTATCAGAGAATAAATTGGGCACTGGATTGTCTAGGGATCTGTAGGCCATGATAAGAATTCAAGCTTTAATTCTAACTGAAATAAAAAGCCACTGAAGAATTTTAAACAGAGGAGTACCTTATCTTTTTAAAAGTTAGCTCTGGCTGCTGTGTTGAGAGTAGATAAGAAAGTTAAGGGCAGAAACAAAGAGGCCAGTTAAGAGATTATTGCTGTAATCTAGGGAGAAATTATAATGGGTAAGACCGGGGAAATAACCATAGAGGTCCTAAAACATGGTTAGTTATTGGATATATTTTGAAGGTAGATCTGACAGGATTTGCCAGTGGTTTGATTGTGGGTTTTTGGCCTGAACAGTTGGAAGGATAGAATAGCCATTTATGGAAATGGGTATGAATGAGAGGAGCAAGTTTGGGAAGGAAGTAGAGGACCTTGAGTTTTGACTTATTATTATTTGAGATACCTATTAGACTTTCAGGGAACTCTGGTGGTATAGTGCCTAAGGCAGTTGACTGCTAACCAGAAGGGTGGCAGTTCAAATCTACCAGCCACTCCTGGGAAGTAAGACTGGGAAATCTACTTCCTAAGAGATACCACCTCGGAAACCCAAGAAGGATCTGATTCGACAGCAGTAAGGTTTTTCTTCTATTTATTTGACATTCAAGTACATATATTGAGTGGGAAATGGATATGCAAACTTGGAATTCAGGGGAGAGGTCCAGGCTGAAGATACAAATTTGAGATTCTTAAGCCTGTGTATATATTTTAAACTCTGAGATTGAAGGAGATTACCAAGGTTGTGAATGGAAAGAGAGAAGAGGTGTGTATCAAGCCTAATCCCTGTAGTACTCCAACATGTAGAAGCTGGGGAGATGAGGAGCAGCCAAGAAAGTGGTAAAATCAGGAAGAGAATGGTATTCTGAAAGTGAGGAATGCGTTCAAGGAGAGAGATGAATTCTGTCAAGTTCTACAAATACATCAATTAAGAATCAAGCATTTTTGTTAGATAGATAGAGATAAATATTGATTTGGGTGAAGAGAAGGGCAATGTACCAAATGTGAGTGACCAATATGGCAGCATTGAGGATGAGAAAGACATA